TGGCTTTGTGAGTCGCGTCTTCTTTTGTGTTTGTGGTGATTATTAGTGTTGCTTAAGGTGCCTCGATATTTGTCGGAGATATGGGAGAAGAATGCGGGCCGTGATGTGGGCCGTCTGGTAATTAAGCCAGCAAATGGTAGAACGGATCTCATATTTAAAAGCAACACAAATTTGCTCGGAAAGGGCCCTACAGGTACAATCAAATCATTCATTTATCGAGCTGCTTATTAATTTTTGTATATAATTGTAGCATACAAAAAAATTCAAATATTTTTATGCATTTTTTGCATTTGCGCAAATATCAAAATGCATTTTAATATGGGGTGTTTGTATGTGTTTCTGTGAGTTTTTTATGTATGTGTGTATGTGCGTATGTGTGTGTGTGTCTGTGTATGTGTGTGTGCATGTATGGCCAGTCTATCGCATCAGAGCAGCTCAAAAGATGAAATTTTGGCAATTTAGCCCTTGGAGCTTTATGCCTTAGGCGGTACCTGAATCTGCCAGATTCATACACATGACCCATTCATTCTGTAGATAGTTTGGAATGTATGTCCAGATTTGGTTCATATGAACGGGGCCTTAGAAAAAACGTATACTTACGCCGGTTTTTTTTTCTTATTCGCTTATCAAGAACACCAAAATCGTCAAGTTATCATTGTGGATGTCCTGCGCTAGTGATATTGTTGGGACACTTCCAAATGCCAAGTCCAGGCCATTCTTTTCTGAGTTGCGTAATGTTTTTCCTGGTATTTTTGTTTTTTTCCGGTATTTTTGCTTTTTTTCTGAGATTTTTGGTGTTTTTTGCTTTCTTCATAGATCAAGATACATAACAGTTTCATATCCACTTAGGTGATGATGGCGATGTGCTGCCAGGTCCAAGCTCATCATCGAATTTTTTGTCCGGAAGCGGGCCTTCTGCGGCAGCAGCAGCAGCATCAGCATCTGGCAGTCGAATAGGTATCGATAAAAGCAAGCAGCCTGTGTTTTCGATGCCAGCCGAGCATAGCTTTCTGATCGGAGATATCAAAAATCAATCACTGGCAGTTCTTTGTGAAGGT